ACATCACTTGAGAAGGACAGCTATAGGTTGACTAACCCAGAAGGTTGACGGCCATATCCCATTGTCCTCCGTCGTTCACGGGGGCGTCGTTGAGGTATGTGATCAACCTGGAATCGAGATCCTCGTCTAGCGTGTCGAGGACATTCCTGGAATGAGCGTGGGGAGTTCAGCGCGAAAACGACTTACTCGAGGTAATAGTTTGCTTTTTCGAGCTTGTCGTAGAAGAACAGGTAGCTCTGAGAGAGTTGGAATTCGCCCAGGTTGAGCTTCTCGATCACGTTGTATCTCAAAACATTGGCTGGAGAGCTCAGCTCGTGATCCGCACGCCATATTCACAAAACTCACTCGTGGCGAAAAGCCAGCACCGCCCGCTGCTGGCTTGGTTCACCCTTGGTCCTGGGTACTCTCCGTTGGGTCCAAGACCCTTGAGAGGGAGGTTGAATACCTTCTCGTCCCTGATGAGCGCTTTGCGGCTCGCCAATGACTGGATAGGATCCGAGTGCGACAAGACCAATCGGGAGAGCGCGAGCGTCGGATCCTGCGTATTAGGGATGTCTTTTAGCGATAAGAGGTATGCTTACCGATTCAAAGTTCCTGGACCACACGTCCAAAGCATCGATCGTGAGCGAAGAGCCTAGTGTGGGCTCATCGCTGGTTGATTCAGGTGGGTGAGCGGTGAAGGCTTGTTTTTCGTTGACAGCCTCGGCAGTGTTTGCCTTGGCAGGGGAAGTGGTGGCAGGCTTCGAAGGTGCTGTTCCCATGTTGTGCGAGGCGGGTTGTTAGAGATACACAGAGGCAAGAGCGCAATGACAATAGCGGGTCAGCACTTGAGAACAGGGGCTTATCGCGAGCTGAGCAGGTGCGATTGCGATAACCCCATTGAGTCGTCAGCATCGCATGGGTCCTCTCGGACATCTCCTGTTAACCGGAAATGTTTCAGTCACCGGTGATCGCCGCTAACAGGTTTCAGCTTAGCAGTTTATCCGACCATCTCGAGCCTGAGACATCCCTCGCAGACCCAGAACGGAGCAGGCCTGCTGAGAAAGGAGCCACCGACATGGTCGGTTACAAGCGCAGTCGTTGAGATCCCCGATACCGTCGAGATTGGAATGGGTGAATCAGGTCCGGGGGGGATACTTCCTGGAATTTCCGGACAAAGAGCGTGACAGGACCATGACCGAGGTGAATCACTAGACGAGGTGGGGGGATACGTCTATCCCAGGTCCGCTATGAGACGTTATCGGCGTCCCTTGCCTTGCGCGCAGGTGTATGGGTCGGCTACGCGCAGGGGGTCCCGCAAGGAGTCAACGCGTGTACAGGTCCAGAGACGGCATTTGATCACCAGTTACCACACACTGACGTAGCCGGGATGTTTGGGCACGCAGAGAGCTGACACGCGGTGGACCTGCCGGGCCCACGAGGTTTGGAGGAATTATAAAATCGTCTGGCTTGAATCAATCTTGCTGGCGGTTTTGCAGGTACAAACGGCTCATGCATGCGGGAGAAGCGCTGCAAGTGATAGCTGGCGTGTAACAGCTGATCCGGGACGAACACGGGTTTGCTGGAATCAATCGATCGATCTCGAACATGTCAGCACGGGTTGCACCTGCGGAACCAATTCTTTCCCCCTCCTATCCCTTCCTTTCCCTGACGATCCTCTCTACCCCGCAAGGGCAAGGGGGATGTGCGTCACACTTTCAGTTCAATCTACCTGTGAGCTACTACGCACGAAATTCTCGATCCCCAATCGACTCTGCCCATCTCCCAACCCTAAACTCGTGCCCGGAGTTGCCGGTTGAGTGCCGGGCGGTAGATCCTGCTCCCCTTCCTCTCGTTGGCCTTCCATCGCTCTCCCGGAAAATCCAAGGGTCTCGCCCACCGGGCCCTAGGTCGTTTTTTTTTTTTCCACAAGATTGTGAGGGAATGAATCACTTGCGTGCGAGATTCCTCCACACGCCTTACTCTGTCTTACGTCGTCCGGATTTCTCTCGAGCGACGAGGCAGTCGCGTCAGCGTTGATCATCACGTACCGTCAGTTGGAGGAAACCCCACCTGCTTTGTACGGCAGCAGGCGCATATGCCGCGGTGGTCCAAAGTTACTCATCCTGCAATGACGTTGAGAGCTGTATGCAAAGGGGTAAGCGTTCGCGCATGACGTCGAGGTGCTGGATCCACCAGGATGGCCGGTCTCCCAGCTTAGGAGAGCACATATAAGCCAGACCTTCTCTCTAGACGACGTTTTCCTCACCCACACTGCTCTCTTCGCTTTCACACTCCACTCGAGACTCCCAAACCAATCCACAACCAATAACAAACATGTCCGGAATTACTCAAGGTGTCAAGGATTTCCTCAAGGGATCCAGCAAGGCCGACTCCACCGAGGTGGGTCTCATTCGCATCGATCGAGAACCACACTTACAAACAGGTCTGCACTGAGGTCGCCCCCGAGGTCACCCAGGAGCACGTCCGACCCAAGGAGCATGTCGAGACCGCCGAGGCTGTCGACCGAGAGCGACACATCCACCACCACCAAGTGAGCCTCTTGTCGTCGTTGTCTGAGCCACGAAAGACGCTAACATCAGCACCGAGTCCAACCCGTCGAGGACCACCAGACCCTCCCCACCAAGCACGTCGAGTCGACCGCCCCTGCCGTCGTCCGAGAGCACAAGGAGGACATGCTCCCTGAGCACCAGGCCAAGCTCCACGAGCAGCGTGCCAAGTACCACGACGAGAAGCAGGTGGGAGAGACCGAGCGATCTGCCGCCCACCTCGGTACTCACGTCAACACCCACGAGCACCACCACATCCACGAGACTGGCAAGTCGTGCTCCTCCCATTAATTTGCGGCACACACTAATCCATAGTCCAACCCGTCATCCAACGAGAGACTGTTCAACCCACCACTGTCCACCACACTCAAGCCGTCCATGAGAAGGTCCACGAGGCTCCTATCGTCCACGAGGCCACCACCCTCCCTACCATCTCCCACGCCGACTTCCTTAAGAAGCAGCAGTCTGAGAAGGCCCACACCCACCAGGACGCCGGCCACCATCACCAGTTCTGTAAGCTCTTCGTCACGCTCGCGATGCAACCATACTGACTGAACAGACGAGGGTGCTCCTAAGGTTGGTGGTCAAGCTCAGAACCCTTCTGCCGTCGCTGGCCAATAAACGCCCGAAGATTATGACTATATATTGATGATTAAACTTCTGTAGCGTTATGCAACTTGTACATGCCGAATACGATTCTGCGCGTATCTTTCACAGATGCCTGGTCAGCCTGTCATATCGCTCATCCTCTATGCAATGGCGAGAACGAAGCTTGCTGGGATGTTCTTTCAAGGTGATGCCGCAGCACGCTCCACCTGCACGGGGTGAATAGCGGGAAGACGTCGCTCGGTTATGACGTGGATCGCGAGGCATCGGGCGCGCGAGAGTAAGAGGTTATAGACCGACCGCTAATGCACCATATCAAAATCCATTGTTTGTCGCGATTAATCTCCTGAGAGATATCCAGAATAGTAGGAGAAGGCCGTCCTGCATGCGCGAGATGGGGGCGCTGGCTGAACAGGCATCGGTAGGTGGGACCGATGGGAGCGTTGGACATTGAATTGATGACGGCAACACGGTGTTCGCCGACACGCGGGCATACAGTGATCCACGTCCACAACGGGTTTCAACGTTCTCTTTCACTCAATCGCATTCAACATGGACGCCGATCCGCTGTATCACGTCAAGCAGCTGTTCTACCAAGGTAGGTGGCGTGAAGCATGCCCACACGGAGCCGAAGAGCTGACCGACAGCTTCTTACAAAGGTATATTCAATCTCTCTTCTTCTCGCGCGCTGCCCTGATCATCCCAGCTTGCGTCGCTGAGGCTTCGTCCTCCGACCTCGGACTCCCCGCGCGGCTCTATGCCGCTAGATCTCATCTCGCCCTCTCCCCTCCCAACACTCCCGCCGCGAAAGAGCTCGTCTCGTCAGCAGAGACGCCCGGAGCAAAGGCTGTCCTCGCGCTTGGGAGATACCTCGCTGATGAGGACAAGGCCGCCAGGGTGGATGAAGTGCGCGATCTGGTGATTGAGAGTGAAGGTGCAGATGAGGAGGAGGAAACTGAGGAGGCTGTCATCCGAGCTATCGCGGGTACAGTGTTCATCCTCGAGGGGGAGAATGAGGAGGCTATTGCGACTTTGACCGAGGGCAAGGCCAAGGAGGATCTTGAGTGGTGAGTCGTACTGACCATTGCATCCAAGTTGCAATAGATATGGGTCATGCTGAGTGTAGTATGGCACTCCTGGTCCAGCTCCTTTTGTCTCTCGATCGAAGAGACCTCGCTCAATCGATCTACTCCCAGGCTAAGAGGATCGGCAACGATTCGACGTTGGTGCAGGCTATGGAGGCTTGGATTGGTCTCAAGACGGTGAGTCGAAAGGGTGGCTTCAGCGTCTCACTTTTAGGGTTCTCGACCGCTCCATCAATCATACTACTACTACGAGGAGCTTTACCAATTGCCCTCCGGCCGAACTCACCCCGTTCTCGCATCTCACGCGGCCGCGCATCTCTTGCTTGGCCACGTCGACGAGGCCAAGGCGGATGTCAACGAGGCGTTGCAGAGGGAGGGAGGAGACAAGGATGGTGATGTGCTTGCTGTCGGCACTTCCCTCCGCATGGACGGCTTTGCAGAGTGAGTCGACGAGTCGGAAGTTGGTGACAGTATACTAATAGTGTAGGAAGCTGGCCTCCGCTGCACCCAAGCACCCCTTCGCGGTGGATCTGGCTGAAAAGATGAGAGCTTTCGATGAGGCCGCCTCCAAGTTTACCATCACGGCTTGAAAGGTTGTATAGAGAGGAGACAATGCAGAGGCTTGCGCGGCATCAATCATCTTCCTTCCATCTCATACACGCCTTCTGATCGTCCCCACTTTGCAGTCCCTATTTTGGTCCAACATCCTTTCTGCCTCGTTGCGCACACGATCGCCCGGGAAAAAGGAGCGAGAGAGACTTGAGGTGACTCAGGTTCGAACTGAGGTTTCTGACGATGCATCTAGCTTGCGCGGAATGCGTAAAGTCAGCCGATTGAACCACTATCGCATCACCCCGTATACTCTTCTCGCCGTTTTTTGGCTCGTTGCCCTGGAGCGCTGAGATGCCATTATGAGAGGGACGACTTGATCAGACGTCGTGATCTCATCTCAAGTCATGCGCTCCTCGGAAAAGTTCGAATCATTGGCCAAGAAGGCAAGATTCATGCGAGGATTAGGTGGACTCTCGCGGAACCTCCATCGTGCCTGTCTGTCTGTTCCGCGAGGTGTGCATGGCCCGCAGCTTCCGCGACGAAGACTTCTTTTGCACAGTCCTCAGTCCTGCTCAGCTAAGTCAAGATTGTCCTTCGCCCAGGCCGAGGAGATGCAGTAAGGGGGAAAAGGTGGAACTCTTCCGTAGCTGCGTTGGGGGGGAACTGTTTGGGACTCTTCCGCAGGGGCGAGGCAAGAGATGCATAAAGTGCGGCTGAAATTACTCAAAGAGGTAAGAAATAGGAGACGCCAAGATCTGATACACATCATCCCCGAGCAACTCGATGACCGTCGGCCATCTTTTCAGATTCTCTCACTGTTATCGTCGCGGAACACGTCCCCTACGGTCGCTCCTATCCCACAGGTTCGTACCCTACAGCGCGGTACTACTCGGCGCGCAACACCAAGCAGACGCTGTATCGACGCATTGAACAAGTCGGAAGGATCAGAAACTCTCCATTTCTCTTCAAACGCCATAAGGCGAGACCTCGTTGCGTCTCTGCCGATCCCTAGGCGCTTTGTCATACCAAGCGGCACGAGTGGATCAAGCAACTACCCCGCCCCCTTCGCCTCTTATTTTGGGCTTCCGCGGAACCGTCCCACATTTGGTCGTTGAGCCTTCACCCAAGAGTTCAGAGCCCCACCCAATCGATACATACAAACGTCCGCTCTCAACATGAACTCGCCCCCGCGCGACTTTGACATCTTGGAAGACGACTCGCTCGCCCCTCTGAAGCGCAACCATGCTTGCTTGAACTGCAAGCGCAGAAAGACGCGATGTTGCGGCGTGAGTATCATGGCTTGGCATTCTTGCGCGCATCTTACAACAGACCCGCCCGACCTGTGCCCCCTGCATGCGTTCCCATGCCCACGCTCTGCGTTCGGCCCAACGACACGGTGCATCGCCCCCGGTCCTTTCGTGTGAATGGGCGGACGATGCGAAAGAGGGTGAACATGAGAACGAGGCCGCGAGCGAAGCGGAAGTCAGGCGTCCGTCTATTCAGCCCGATCATAGGAAACGATCCGACCCAAAGACAAAGGCACCTTTTGCAGCGCACAAGTCCCTAGACCGGGAGAGGGAGAAACGTCGTGATGAAGAGAAGGAGACATTGCTTGCGCGCATCGGTAAGACTCGGGCCATGTCCAGCTCCAGCACAACCCGCTGACGACCAGCCGAATTGGAGGCACGTCTCGCTCAACTCTCTCCATCGGCATCGGATAATTCACCGCAACATTCCGCGCAACGCCAGTCGCCGGCCACCTCAAGCACAACCCACACGCGGCCCCAATGGGGTAGCAGGACATCAAACGAGACCCTCGTCGACGAGCATATGGTGCCCAACCAGAATAAGTCGTCGAACCGCGACTCGGGGGCTAAGCAACCTTGGATAGCAGACGCCCCGACCGAGACTCCGGTTACTGGACCCCAAGTTCCTGATCCGCCTCTAGCAAGTATGGCTCCCGGCGGCTTGGACTTTAGTGGATTGTTTGTTGTGCCTGTGAACTGGCCAGCTGGCTTGCCAGCACCATGTGAGTAATCTCAATTCGTCCTCGACTGTACTGACGATAGTCCTGCTTGAACATCTGTCAGCTCTTTCGGTCTCCTCCCTTCGCTGCTAATCCCCAGAGTGGAGACCTTTTTCTCACATGCCCCTCAGATGCCTCGCATGCTCCATCGAGCTACGCTACTCACCCGGATGAGGCTTCCACCCACGAGTCCAGAGTTTCCTCATCCCTCACTCCTGCACGCCATCAGCGCGTATGCTTCGCCATATACAGCATGGGTCAACAACGTCCCTCCCGAAGCCTTGGAGAAAACGGTTGATCACCACAAAAAGCTGTATGGCAATCTAGAGGGCGTCGAGGACTTTGGACTCGCTCAAGCTGAAATCGCGTCGAGGAGCATTCGAATGGCCGTTGAACGGTGCATGATGGAATCGGGAGAAGTTCTATTCGAAATATGCCAAGCGACTGTAGGTTGTCTTTCAGGGCTCCCCTGACAACCAGATTATCCTGTCCGACCTGTACTTCCAGAAAGGCATGCCATTCCAAGCGTGGATTGTCGCTGGTACCCCGGCAAGGTTACTCAAAGCGATGGAGGTCATGAACAGGAACGAGCGCGACTCGCACAAAGCGCCCTTGCTTCCCGCTCCCAAGAATGCTTTCGAACGCGAACAACGATTGGCCACTGTATGGATGACATTTATCCTCGACGCGGGTTTCACCTTGAACTCGAAATGGAGCGGGAGTATGGATCTGGACGAGATCTATTGCAATCTGCCCGCACACTTTGAGCAGTTTAAGAGCAATGTAAATGCCCTTCTTCAAGCTGAGCTCATCGTCAGGCCACAGATTATCCCGGAAATCCACAGACCGCTCAGAGTCCCGATGTCCTCGCACAGTAGGCCTCGAGCATTGTACTCGAAACTGACTCCAGTCACCCTGTCGCCGATTCGTTCGTGCTCGCCATCAAAGGTAAGAGCTTCGCATGGGCCTTGCTGACTCCAGCTGCCATGCTCGTTAATCGTGCCGCAAAATGGATCCGAACTTGGGATCAACGGGATATACAACCCGGCGATGAGGCCATCGGACTGCGGCAGCCAACCTTCATAGCTCTGGTCAATGACATCCACGTCTTCCAGTATGTCGAAAACCCAAGGATTGCCGCGCTGACGGTCAGAGCAAGCGTGCCGAGCGCAATGAGAAGCGTGTACAGTGCCTTTGGATCTAATCCGTCACTCTCCGTGGACTCCAATGTCATCGTGAGTAATCCCGGGCAGGCGGAGCCGGGGTTTGTGCTGATACCAGCTTGTGCACATCCTACCCAGTCTCGCTCTCTGCCTTCTATACGAGCCTTTCATGGAGCTGGAATCCGACCAGACTAGCTACGGCATGACCCAGGTCCAGCGGGGCTTCGAAGCGATTCTCGATGTGCTCAACCTGATTCCGAGCAGTTTGGACGTGTCCTTGATCAGTACCGCCCTGTTGACTTTGTGTGTGCCCGTCAAAGACGAAACCTGACGGTAGCTCTCTGTACAACATTGGACGTCTCATAGCTAGCTTCCTCGAGCGAAGTATTCGATTGCAGCAGTACGCGCTTGCCGTCCGTTTCCGCGCAGATGTAGAAACTATTCAAAACAGTGCGTCCAACTCAAAGGGCTCTCCTGACTTGCAGTACTTAACCGCTATGGCCACAAACACTCCTTGGGAAGGATGATGTCCTCCTTCCTCGATAGTTATATCTCTGCGATCCAGTCGAGGCGGAAACCAGGCCCGCCTCAGCTATGTTGCTCGGGGGGGAAACCTCGGGCCGCTCAGGAGCCGGAAACTCATCAAGCGACGACGGACCACGTCGATCAATACCTCAACGAGATGTTCATGTCGCCGGGTACTCAATCCGCGCAGGATCCATCAATCGACCCCACTAGGATGACAGGGGCGGATTATCTCGGCGGGCAAGGCACGTATACCACCCGGTCACTGGACTCCACGCCTCCCGGTCCGTCGGCTTCCGGAAGTGGCAGCAGTGGGGCGCACACACCCGCAGACTTGTTGGATTTCAGCGCGCATACCGAGCCGCCCCTCGCCTCGATGTCGTACATGCCGCACTTTAGTGGCGCCGCCGACGTGACCATGGCGCCGAGCATGGAAGATTATACTTATTTGCTGGACGAGGCGGCCGAGCAGAGTCAAGGGGATCAGAATAAGGGAGATGGGTTGAGCATCGGGGTCAAGATCGATGGGAGGGATATTGTTTGGGCAGGGGTGTGACTGACGCCGTGAACGGATAGAGGCGTGTTGTCAAGTAAAGGGTGAAAGGGTCTTTGTGCTGTAACAGCCCGATTATTCTTGTGATTCAGGTTGTCGTGTATGTATTCTAGATTTTACTCTTCTCCTCGACGAGATGTATGACGGTGACTAATGGCGCGGTTCAAGAGAGCGATGGCATTGGCGGTGACTCTGATACATGTTTATGCATGCTTGCCAATCATTCTACCTCTCATGAATTTTCCATACTCCTCAACAGCTCGTCCACGAAAGATGCCGTCGTCTCATGAGTCCCCGTCTCCATCTCTGCTGCCCCAGTCGCCGCAGATATCTCACCCTCACCTGCCCCAGTAAGGTGAAAGTCGATCCACTTGTTTCGTTCAAAGTCCCAGAAAGTACCAATATCTGCGATGTTAGGCGGACCAGACGTCCAAGTATATCGGCCCTCCAAGCCCTCCAACTGCGTGACAGGCTGGTTCGAGGAGACTTGCTGTCGTTTCGCGGCTGGCTCGCCAGTGTCAAAGAGCCTTGATGCGGGCTTAGCACCCGTGTGCTGATATGCATCGTCGAGTCGAGCGGCCGAGCCCTGTGCCAAATCCGACGCTTTCTGCCCGATTCGATCAGCGAGAGACGGGCTGTGACGCCCGTTCCCATTCGATCGCCATGGTACCGAATCGAGCATGTCTGCCGCGGAAGCCAGATCATGATCGACCTGACCCATGCGTGCCAGACTGGCCTTGAGCTCGGCTGGAGCCGTGCCCGTCCAAACTTCGGAGACCGACCCGTCATCCGTCGGGGACTGCTTGAGCGCGCGAAGCTCTTCCCATGGCACAGCGGGAGAAGTCAGGTCGAGATCGTCTTGAATGCTGAGGTTTTGCATCGCGTCTTCGATGAGTTTTGGTACAGATCTGCTGGTCAGTTTTGCGCAAGAACCCATCACTGACTGTATAGGCCAGAACCCCATGGCGCGTGAGAACAATTTCTGTTCTTTCGACTCGGCGGCCTGTTTCGCCACTACCAGCTTTTGGTCTGTAGGC